CCACCCATGCCACCTCCATCCTCGTCACCTCCAACACCCATATCACCTCCATCTTTGTCACCTCCGCCACCCACATCACCTTCACCACCCGCATCATCTCCACCCTCACCCCACCACCCACGCCACCTCCATCCTTGACACCTCCACCATCCACGTCACCTTCATCCTTGTCACCATCCCACCCGCATCACCTCCATCCTTATCACCATTCCACTCATGCCACCTCCATCCTTGGCAGCATCCCACCCACATCACTTCCATCCTTGTCACCTCCACCACCCACATCATCCCCACCACCCACATCACCTCCATCCTCGTCACCATCCCACCCACATCACCTCCATCCTCATCATCCCCACCACCCACATCACCTCCATCCTCGTCACCATCCCACCCATGTCACCTCCATCCTCGTCACCGTCCCACCCACATCACCTCCATCGTCATCAACCTCCATCCTCATCACCCCCACCACCCACATCACCTCCATCCTTGTCACCATCCCACCCACGTCACCTCTATCCTCGTCACCCCGTGTCACCCCCACCCAGGTGGACGAGAACAGCTACTCCGTCCTGCGTTGTGAGGGCACCTCCGTCACCCTCCCCAAGCTGTCCCCTGCCACCGCCTACGTGGTGCGGGTCCAAGCGCTCACCCTGGACGGCCACGGGGCCTACAGCCCCCAGCACGAGTTCGAGACCCTGCCTGAAGGTGAGGGCCAAGGCGGGTGGTGGGGGAAGGATTTTTGGGGTGGGGAGGTCCAGGAGGGTCCAACGGTTCACCCCAAAACCCGCCCCCTGGAATCGTCCCCGCAGGCACCGAGGCCATGGCGTCCGCCGCCGTCATCAGTGGCTCTGTCACTGGTGTCTTCTTCGTCCTCCTCCTCTTGGCCGCTCTCATCTATGTCCTCCGGCGGTAAGGAGATAAAAAACCTCAAAATACTGTTTTCCACCATCAAAGATGGGCGAGGGGGGATTTTCTGGGGGCAAAACGTTGCTTTTCCCTAGGAGGAGAAGGTCACGGCCACGCCACTCCACTGAGGACGTCTACTTCTCCAAGTCCGGTGAGCAACGGGATGGTGGGGTCAATGGGGATGGGGGTGGGGGGTGTGACATGGGTGCTGACACCCCACCACCACCACCGGCACCTCACAGACCAGCTGAAGCCCCTCAAGACCTACGTTGACCCTCACACCTACGAAGACCCCAACCAGGCCATGCTCAAGTTCACCACTGAGATCCCTCCATCCTCCATCACCCGCCAGAAGGTCATCGGCGCCGGTAGGTCCTCAGGTGGCTTCGTCACCCTAAAGACACCCCAAAATTGGACCAGGGTGGGGGGGTTAAATGTGTCCCCCTCCCACTTTCTCCGAGCAGGTGAGTTTGGGGAGGTCTACAAGGGCACCCTAAAGCGTGGTAGGAAGGAGGTGCCAGTGGCCATCAAGACCTTGAAGGTGGGCTACACGGAGAAGCAACGGGTGGACTTTTTGAGCGAAGCCACCATCATGGGCCAGTTCTGCCACCACAACATCATCCGCCTGGAAGGGGTCGTCTCCAAGTGTGAGTCGTGTGACCTTCTGCCCTCCACCCAAAAAAAACCCATTTTCTCTGCAAAACACCCCAAAAAAAAACTGCTATACAAAAATAGGGTGTTTGGGGTGACGATACATGGGGGTTTTGGGGAGGGGAGATGTTTTTTTTGGGAGAGTTGGTGGTTTTTTTTGGTTTGGGGTTTTTTCATTTGAGGTTTGGGGATTTTGTTTTTTTGGGGGCAGATTTTGAGCTTTTTGGGGTTTTGTTGGGTTTTTTGGTTTGTTTTTGGAGGGATGATGGTTTTTGGAGGATTTAAGGGGATATTGGACAGTTTTGGGATTTTTTTTGTTGTTTTGGAAGGGGGTTGAGGGTTTTTTGTTTTTTTTTTTTTTTGTGGGGTTTGGAGAGTTTTTTTGACCGAGTTTGGGTCTTATTTTTGTTTGGCCAGACAAACCCTTCATGATCATCACGGAGTACATGGAGAACGGCGCCCTGGATAAATTCCTGCGGGTAGGTGAAGGTGGTGATCAACGCGTAGATGGTTGGAACCACCAAAACCCACCACGGGAGGTGGGCCGAGAGCTGGATTTGAAGCCGGATTCTCCCCTTTTCCCAGGAAAAAGAAGGAGAATTTGGCGTCATCCAGCTGGTGGGGATGTTGAGGGGCATCGCCGCCGGCATGAAGTACTTGGCCAACATGAATTACGTCCACCGGGATCTGGCAGCCCGGAACATCTTGGTGAACAGCAACTTGGTGTGCAAAGTGTCCGATTTTGGGCTTTCAAGGGTGTTGGAAGATGACCCTGATGCCACCTACACCACCAGCGTAAGTGCCACCAAGGTGGGGTGGTTGGTCACGGTGGGAGCGGTTGGGTTGGGTTCTTTCTGGGGGGAGGCTGTAGAGTTGACCTTGACGTCGCCGTTAGGGTGGGAAGATCCCCATCCGCTGGACGGCGCCCGAAGCCATCTCCTACCGCAAGTTCACCTCCGCCAGCGACGTCTGGAGCTACGGCATCGTCATGTGGGAGGTGATGTCCTACGGCGAGCGCCCGTACTGGGAGCTCTCAAACCACGAGGTGAGCGGCCGCCCTCCTCCACCACCGTTTTTTTGGGGAGGGGTCTTGAGAACGGATGGCTTTTTGAGGGACGGGGGAGCACCACTCAACCTCCTCCTCCTCGTAGGTGATGAAGGCCATCAACGAGGGCTTCCGCCTCCCCGCCCCCCTGGATTGTCCCTCCGCCATCTACCAGCTGATGATGCAATGCTGGCAGCAGGAGCGCAGCCGGCGCCCCAAGTTCGCCGACATCGTCAGCATCCTCGACAAGCTGGTCCGCGCCCCCGACTCCCTCAAGGCCTTGGCGGACTTCGACCCCCGGTGAGCTACGGAGGGGGCACCTGCACGTTGTCGTGGTGCTTTTTGCACCTTTGCCATTTTGCATTCTCGCATTGCTTTTTTGCAACTTCCCATTCTTGCATCTCTTTTTGCATCCTTCCATTTCCGCATTACTTTTTGCATCCTTCTTGCCGGTTTTTGCACCTGCGCATTTTTGCACCGTTGCATTCTTGCATTGCTTTTTGCACCTTTGCAATTTTGCATTGTTGCATTGCTTTTTTGCAACTTGGTGTTCTTGCCGGTTTTTGCACCTTTGCATTTTTGCACCGGTGCATTCTTGCATTGCTTTTTGCATCATTGCATCCTTGCACGCTCTTTTGCACCGGTGCATTCTTGCATTGCTTTTTGCATCTCTGCATTCTTGCATGCTCTTTTGCACCTTCACATTGTTGCATTGCTTTTTGCACCTTTGCAATTTTGCATTGTTGCATTGCTTTTTTGCACCTTTGCGTTCTTGCACCTTTGCGTTCTTGCACTGCTTGTTGCACTTTTGCATTGCTGCTTTTTACACCTTTTGCATTTTTACATCACTTTTTTGCATCTCAGTGTTCTTGCAGGGGTTTTGCACCTTTTCTCAATGTTTTTGCAGGGGTTTTGCACCTTTGCATTCTCGCATTGCTTTTTTGCAGCTTTCCATTCTTGCATCTTTTCTTGCATCCTTCCATTTCCGCATTACTTTTTGCATCCTTCCATCTTTGCATGTTTTTTTAATCTTTTTTTTTTTTGCACTCTTCCATTTTTTGCATTGCTTTTTTGCATCTTTCTGTTTCTGCATTATTTTTTGCATCTTTCCATGTTCACGTTGGCTTTTTGCATCTTTCCATTTTTGCATCATTTTCTGCATCCTTCCATTTTCACTTTTTTTTTTGCATCCTTCCATTTTTTGCATTATTTTTGCATCTTTCCATTTTCCCACCGTTTTTCGCACCCTCCCATTTCTCCTCGGGTTTTGCACCCCCATTCCCACCCCGTTTCTCACCGTGTCCCCCCCCTCCCAGGGTCTCCATCCGCCTGCCCAGCACCAGTGGCTCGGAGGGTGTCCCTTTCCGCTCCGTCCCCGAGTGGCTGGAGTCCATCCGGATGCCTCAGTACACGGAACACTTCATGGCCTCGGGCTACAGCACCATCGAGAAGGTCCTGCAGATGACCAGCGAGTGAGTCCCTGTCCCCATGGTGTCCCCTTGGTGTCTCCTCATACTATATCCATGCTGTCCCTGTACTGTCCCTATGGTGTCCCCATATCCATCCCGATGCTGTCCCCACGATGTGTCCCCATGGCGTCTCCATGGTGTCCTGGTTGCATCCCCATGCCGTCCCCATGGTGTCTTCATACTGTATCCGGGGTGTCCTCATGGTGTATTCATACTGTCCCCATGGTATCTCATACTATATCCATGGTGTCCCTATACTGTCCCCATGATGCCCCTATGATGTCCTCATACTATCCCCTTGATATTTCCATACTGTCCCCATGGTGTCCCTGTACTGTCCTCATGCTGTCCCCTTGATACTCCCATACTGTCCTCATGCTGTCCCCATAACCATCCCCATTCTGTGTCCCCGTGGTGTCCTCATACTACATCCATGGTGTCCCCGTGGTATCCCTTTGGTGTCCCCTTGGTGTTCCTGTGGTATCTCCATGGTGTTCCCATGGTATCCTCATACTACATCCTCGGTGTCCCCTCGGTGTTCCTGTGGTATCTCCATGGTGTTACCATGGTATCCTCATACTACATCTGTGGTGCCCCCGTGGTGTCCCCATGGTATCCTCATACTACATCCATGGTGTCCCCTTGGTGTCCCCTTGGTGTCCCCACGCCATCCCATCGATACTCCCATGCCGTCCCCACCCTGTCCCCATCCCACTCCCCCAGCTCCCGCGGGGACAGGGCCATCCCGGGAACAGAAACCGCTTCCCCGGCGCCGGCATCGTTAACCCGACCGACACCTTCAAATTAGACACCCCCCATCCCCCATCCGGCCGGACCCGCACCCCAAACCTTCTCCTGCCGAGACCCTTTTTGGGCTTTTTTCACCCCAAAAATAACATTTGGGGGGTTTTCCTTCTTTTCCAGCGATATCAAGAAAATCGGGGTGCGTTTGCCGGGGCACCAGAAGCGCATCGCCTACAGCCTGCTGGGGCTGCAGGAGCAGGCGGGCGCCGGGGGGGTCCCCCTCTGACCCCCCCCAGCGCCCCCAAAAATACTTGAAATTCAACCAAAATGAAGATCCCCCCCCCGCTTCCCCAAGGGCTTTATTTATTATTATTTTTATTATTATTAAGCGATTTTTATAGTGGTATTATTATTAATATCCCCGGGGTCGGGGATGAAACGGGTCTCACCCCCATCCTCCCCCCCCCCCCAAAAAAAAAACTTAAAAAAGTCTGCATTTAGAGACATAAAAAAAATAAATTTCAAGCTCATTTTGGGCTGGGGGAGGGGTGTTTTGGGGGGTTTTTCCTTTTTTTTTTAACATTTTTTGTTGTTGTCTCTTTTTCCACATTTCAAGCAAAACTGAATCTCAGCCCCAAAATTGGCTGATTTTGGGGTTTTTTAATTTTTGGGTTTCTCCCTATTTATTCCTCGCCCGCCGGGTTTTTGGAGGAAAATCCCTTTTACCGCGTTGCTTTTCCCTTTTTTATTTTTGAAACCTAATTTATTCTATTTTTGTATATTTATTGCGGAAAGCGAAGGGCGCGTCAGATTCGGGAAAGCAAAAAAAAAAGGGGGAAAACGAGGGGAAAAAAACACCAAAAACCCGGATCCTCCTTTTTTT